ATCCCCCCCTCACCCCCCCCACGGGAGCACACTGACCACCAGGGGGCAGCTCCTGCATTGAGCATCTGCCCCCTGGTGGTCAGTGTGTGTCAGTGACCAGTCGTTCTGCTGTTAGGGTCAATTTGCATATTACCCTTTTATTATATAGGATTTTACTGCTATTATGAAGGAAATATTTTTCAAGTCATAATTTCAAATAGGTAAGACATTTTTTCCAATGAGCTTTTGCTGTATAACCAACATACTTCAATTTCAGCTTGATTTATTCTGTATGTAGAAAAGTATTTATAAGAGTACTTTACTTCATAGACATAAATGAACTCCCTACTTGAGAGACGACACTGAAGGCCATGAAGATGATTACAGCAGATTAACTTTGTAATTATGAAAGGAACTAAAAGGAGCCACTGGTTATCCATTTTATTCTAAAGTGTAAAATTGCGTAGGTGCAATTACACATTTATTTTTATTACTGAGGAGGGAAAAAAGACAAGAAATTGATTCACCCATGTCTGTAATAACAAAAAAAAGGCGAATTGAAGATAGCGGGGACTCAGAGTACCTAATTTTTCCTTATACTTTGAGCCTAATGCACCTCATCTACCTCACTGTCTGACAGTCCATTGTGGCATAACCAAGATGAATAATGTAGGCAATATCTTCCATGGGGATTACATTAAAAACAAAGGCTCTAAGTAACCGGTATCTAAAGATCATGTTATAAAACTGGTCCCCATGTCCTCAGTCCCACTGGACCCTGTTGTCCCTGGAGGTTGCATACACACCTGTCATTCACTTGCCCTTGGCTTTGAAGGTGGCAGGATGCCAGCCTCAGCCAAGTGTTCACAGTGCAAAGTGCTTCAGAGACTCCTCTGAAATGAAAGTCAGTATGTAAATGTGCAACATGACGACATTATTATTCTAGCTTCCTGGCGGCTTTCAGCACGCACTGCCTGCCACATGAGGTCTCAAGTGTTCTGGCACAGTGTGCAAGCGTTCGAAAGAAGTTAAAGGAATGAAATTGGAGCTACATTTTCAGAGCTATTCAAGCTGGCATGGAGGAATGGAGTCATGGAATCAGGGTTGGATGGTCTCCACCAAACAGCCCAGGCGAGTGCCTGTGATGCCAGGCTACTAAGCAGAATTTTCAATCGTGAAAGGCCACCAGTATTTCTTCCTCTGGGTCTAAAATTACAAAATGTACACACCTCCCCCAGGATCACACCATTCTCTGGGTGCTTTCTGCTCAATCCCCATCCACCCGTTCCCCGGAGCACACCAGTTTGCTTAAATCCAGCGTAAGTTTTAAAATGAAGAACTAAGTACAAAGAGGAAAAAAATGTTTAGTTAGAACCCTAATATAGCATAAGCTACTGTATGAAGTCTGTGGCTATTATTTTTCAGAGGGGGCCAGGCTTATTGTATATCTCATCTGTCTTCGGTACTATCCTAGAAAGTGTTCACTTAGTGGATTTTAATTGACCTTGTCATTTAACCAATCAGAAAGGATATATGCACCCCCATGTTCACAGCAGCACAATTTACAATAGCTAAGATTTGAAAACAGCCTAAGTGCCCATCAGTAGATGAGTGGATTAAAAAACTGTGGTACATCTACACAATGGAATACTACGCTGCTGTAAGAAAGAAGGAATTCTTACCATTTGCAACAGCATGGATGGAACTGGAGAGCATTTTGCTAAGCAAAATATGCCAGTCAGAGAAAGATAAATATCACATGATTTCACTCATTTGTAAACTAGACTTGTATGAATGCATATAAGCCTAACCAATGGACACAGACACTGGGGGTGGGGGTTGGGGTGAGAGCATGAGTGTGTGGGGGGGAATATATTATTTCAAAGAAGGGGAGGGAGAGAGAGAGAAACATCAATGATGAGAGAGAATTATTGATTGGCTGCCTTCTGGACTTCCCACAGTGGGGATTGAGCCTGCACCTGGGTATGTGCCCTGACTGGGAATCAACGATGACCTCCTGGTTCAAAGGTTGATGCTCATTCACTAAGCCACACTGACTGGGCAACCTTGTCATTTTTGTTTGCAGTTTTCATTCCTGTCAGGTCCTCTAATTTGTACCCAGCAGTCTCTGCTGATGAAATATCTGAAGCTAAAACCAAACTCAGGTGTGTGGGTGGTGGGGTCAAAAAACAAGGTCTACTAAGTAGTGAATCATGGTGGGTCCAGGGTCAGCACAGATCCTGGTTGTGGTTATTCTGAGACATGACCTATCTCTTAAACCTTTATACTTTCTTTCCCCCTGGCTGACATTTTTCTGATCATCAGGGCACCAGCAACAGAGTCTGAATGCCCTGCTTTGCAGCTACCTTTTATACTAGCACAGCTCCACAACAGTGGCTACTCTTCCTCCTACCCCTCCCTTTATATCCTGAATTCTCAAGTGATCCTTGTATGTAAGAAGACATAGAGTTTAAGTTTAAAAATGTTAAGACAGGGACAATGCAAAGAATTCAAGCACTGAAGAATACCATGACTCATACAGAACCTCTCTTTTTATTATGTTTTAGGACAGTGAAAAGAAGGGGTTTATAAATAAAATCTATGCCATCCAGGAGGTATGCATCAGTGTCCAGAACATCCTAGATGAAGCGGCTTCCTTAGGCGAAAGGATAAAGAAGTAAGTGATGCTGACACGTGGACCCTGGCCTTCTGTGGAGACAGAGTGTCCATTTGTTTCTCAGAGGGTGAAATGCCAATTCGTTTTGGCAGGGGACACTCCTTCTGGATGATCTATTGCTCAGTTTCATCATTATTTACTTTGTTTCTGTCAGTCTTTGGTTTTATGAAAGTTCTGTCAATTTCCTTCCTGAAATTTAGAACATATTGGTTGGAAAGAAATTATACTTGTAGCTTTGGAGAAATAACACCATTCTAAATTTTAACACATTTTCACAGTGAAAGGCTTTGTTCTTAAACAGAATATCAACTCATGATAAAAAAAAATAAATAAACTAAGCAAAATGAGGATTTCGGGTAAGGAAGACACACATTTTATTGTTGGCTGAGGTATATTTTCAAATTAATCTAAAATTTTTTGAAAGTGGTATTATATATAGCATCTTACCAAATATACTTTCAAATTTGTGTATTTATACAGCTAATATATTATACATGAAATAAACTAATGCTCGGCCATTAAAAATTTTTTAATTCTGTGGATTTTTAAAAATCACCTTTATTTTTTTGAGTAAGAAAATATCTAATGCAAAGTTAAGAAACATTCTTAATTTTATATTGTGTTTTACTTGAAATACTTTTTTACTAATCTACTTTTTAAAACAACTGTTTAATTATAAAAACAATAAGGTGATTTACAATTGAATATCAGTAAAAATATACTAAGGCCTCAAACTACTACTGAACTATATAAAAATTGGCCCACTCAAGAAGGGGTGCTGTATATCCAGTTAAGCCTACATTTTCCTAGTTTCATATATCCACTCATTGTTTATTGTTCGTAACCCAAAGTGTTCAGATTTGACTCTTTGGGCGTAAGTTGAAGAGGAGTAAGTTATTTAAACTAAAGGTTTGAGTCACTCGTTTAGTGCCTTTGATGTTTCAAGGGATAATGAGTCTTATTTCATGTAATTTTTTTGTTTAATACATTTCCACACATGCATAGATGCTGAGTTTCCACATTCTCGTATCACATTAGACAGAACAGCCTCCCTCTCACTCCCAAATGTGCCTCGAAGCAACGGTCAGTCTTAGACTTCTGAAAATTGATTCCCACGTTTGTCTTTTCCCTTCTTCCTCTCAATGTTTTTTTTCTCCATCTCTAAGAATGTCCTGCTGTTCTCCACACTCTGTCCATGAAGCACAGGGTGAAGTCCTAAATGGGGGCTTTCTCTACTGAGTGAGTGTTGTCCTTTCTGAGGTACACTGGGTGTTCATACCTGATGACAGCATCTCATTGGCACCAGAAGACCCTGGGTCAGCTCTCGGGCCAGGCTAGTGAATGCCTGAGGGAAAATGGTTCTTTATCTCTCTGGATGCTAAGAGACCTCAGAACAGGTGCTGGCTGGAAAACATGAGGGCCAGTTGAAGCAGAGGACCAGATCCTGGCTGTGGACCAGCCTGTGGTATACAGGGTTTTGTAGAACTTCCATAGGTGCAGTAGTGATACAGGGATAAGTATAGGCTGAGGTGCAGCCATCTTCTCTGCACAATCTCTTGAATATTAAAAAGAGAAATCCCCCTATAGTCACATGGAATATAATGCATATATTCAGAAAGCAGCTTCAGAAGCAATATTTAAGTACAAAGTGAAAAGTCTCTATAACTGCATTTTGTTATTCATTCCAGAACTTTCTTGAATGGGGATCATATTCTAGATTTAGATTCCACAATGCGTTGTGGGAAATGGACAATCTTGTTTCCCCTGACATTAGCTACACTGGTAAGGATTCTTACTCTTCCAAGAGGAGAAAGAAAGAACACAGGGAGCCCTCCAGTGAAGCTGCCCAGAAGACAGGTTTTCTGAGGAAAGAGCCAGTGCCCTTGCACAAGGAACAGTGTGATGGATAGCTCTGAGCTGAGCCCCAGGAGAGCAGGCAGACCCTCAGCCTTCTGTTCTCTCCACAAGCAGCAGAAGCAAGGGAAGCACAGGTGTAAGGGAGGGAAGACATGATTCTTTACCTGGCAAGTTATAAGTCGCTCACTCTAGCCATGGGAGGAAAATGATAAAGTCCAAAAAGCCAAACCCTAAAAGTAATTGAAAACAAGACAATCAGATTGATGCAACTTTGGCTCTTTTACTAAAAAAAATTTTTTTTAAATATTAAACATTTGACCTCAGGATACAAAAAGCAAGCTATAGCTAGCTACAAAACTAAGGAATAACTCCTAAGTTATGCTGAGACACAGTACTGGAAGAAAATCTCTTAATAATCATCCTTTTTTGGATCAAAAACTGCCCAGGACAAACCCCACTCTGAGTGAATATAACACACATTACCAGGAAATTAGAACAAAAACACTAACATTTATCCACATCATGTACAATTTCTTATTCCTTTAAATATCTTTTGAGGCCTAATCCCTTCCTGATAAGAAATGCTACATTGCTAATGTTAACCTTTCATTCAGTACTTTCAACTGGACGGTCCCATTCCTAAGCTGGCTGGCCATCGTGGCCCTCTGTGTGTTCACAGTCGTGCTGTACTTCATTCCACTGAGATACATTGTCCTTGTCTGGGGTAAGTAAAGCCTTTTTCTTTTCTTTTTACTGTCTTAGCTGCTAAGAACAAACTATTTTTAAGGGATGAATTATCCTGTCAGTAGTTCCGTATATTTATGGTCATGAAGCTACTCCATGATGAAAAGAGACAGGTCGGTTAAAAATCACAACAGTATAACGATCTAAGTCTACCTGCAAAATGCATTTTTCTTATCTGGCACCATAGGCTCCATCATACTATAAACATGTTGCTGTGCAGATTCTTCATATATCAAAGAGTAGCTCGGTCTAGATATCACTCTGATTTATTTTCACCACTTATACGTAAACAGAGGCATTTCGAGCCATATGGTGCGTTCAGGACAATATGCTTTTGTGCTATGGTGCTCTGTCTTGTGGAAGTGTCTGTAAATATGGTACTATATATGGTCACCTGTAGGATACAGAAAAGGGTCCCTGTCATTGACAGGCTGCTTAGGAACAAGAAACCTGCTTTATGTGTACTAAATAAGAATGCTTCTGCAAAAACCCCCTTTAAAAGTAGTTTCGGGTCCTAATTTTTAATGCAGTTATGCCGCATGCCAACAGTCCTCATGTACCAAGTTTCAGCATTCTTGATAGTTTTGAGGTTCCTCCTACCCGCGCACCCTCCCCCCCCATATCTGACAAAACTCTTGGTTTGGAAAATTCAATTCTTAATCTCTAAGACTGACTAACATATAAAACTATGACATTAATTATATACATACATACATATATACATATGCATATACATGCATAGATATTACATATGCACACACACAAGACTGGGTAGAAGTAGAATTCTCTACTTGCCCCTGGTCTCCACACACCTAAGCTTGCTAAACCTATATGAAATGCAAAGAACTGAAATGGGCCTTGACTCCAGACAACATGTGCTCGTACAACAAAAAGACCAAAGAGAATGTTTTGTTCTTTTCTTTTTAAGGCTTTAACGCACTATGCTGGAATAAAGGGAGAGGGGTCAGATGTCTCTAAGCCCTCCAGTTTTAGGATTCCTTTCTCCCTACTGTTTTTGGCCTCTTTTCCTACCATGAATACTCCCTCTTACCACTTACCATAAACTTACCTCCGCATCTTGGGTGGGGAGTAGGATAGTAGGAATAGTGACTATTTGTTCTTAATTTCTATAGTTTAAATAAACAGTTTCACCTAATACAGTACTTCCACTATGCTAGGGAAGAGGCTTTTTCCACCATGTTCTTTTTCCCGAGTGTGGCCTCTTTTCCTACCATGAATACTCCCTCTTACCACTTACCATAAACTTACCTCCGCATCTTGGGTGGGGAGTAGGATAGTAGGAATAGTGACTATTTGTTCTTAATTTCTATAGTTTAAATAAACAGTTTCACCTAATACAGTACTTCCACTATGCTAGGGAAGAGGCTTTTTCCACCATGTTCTTTTTCCCGAGTGCCGTGGTCGGCAAACCATGGCTCATGAGCCACATGCGGCTCTTTGGCCCCTTGAGTGTGGCTCTTCCACAAAATACCATGTGCGGGCGCACACTTACAGTGCGATTGACTGCTGAGCCGCAGTTTGTCGACCACTGCCCTAGTGTATGCTCCAGCCCTCATCTTGCATTCCTTTCTGATATTTAAAACAGATGCTCTTATCGTGAAGGAATTAGAGTAGAGCATTTGGCAGTTTATTACCTCTAACCAACTGAGAGCCACTCCTGCCATCTAGGTTGTGACAGGTGGTGAACCTCTGTTTTTGTTTGCCCAGGTTCTTGGAACCTGGAGACCATGGCAGACATCTCGCTCTGTAACTTGGGAGCCACTGGCTGTCTTAAATGTAATTTTTAGAGAATGTGTGTGGGCCTCTTGTTTCATTCACTGAAATGAAACAAGAACAGTATTCCCTTTAGTAGTACGTGATTGCTGAAGTACTAACCAGAAGTTTCAGAGGGACCTCACATGGGGACACAGGAAGAGAAGAAAATCATACCCTAACGAAGAGCCACAATGCTCTAGCTCATGGCCCAGGTCTCACCAGACCACTGCTTTCATATCAAGTTGCTTATGTATTTCTATGTGCATGTTTGGTAATTTAAGTGCAACACAAATTTAAAAACAGACTTGTCACATTGAAAATCTACATTATCACACAGAATATGTAGGACAGATACTTCTAAGTTTTATACATTATTTTTACATTTCACCCGCATTGACCCTTTATCCACACTGACTCTTCAGGTAGTACAGAGGATTAACTATTGAGTAATTTAGCATGGGTAGATGTTTGTCTCTAATGATTCTTGGCTGTTGTGATCCAAGTTAGTCAATCATGGCAGCATCTTTTGCAAGAATTTAATGTACACTTGTAATTTAAAAGAAAAAGTGGTTTCTAAAAATCCCAATGCCAGAGATACATTTTTTTCTTGTGATGAGAACTTTTAAAATATACTTTTAGCAATTTCAAAAATGCAATTACAGTATTATTAACAATAGTCACCATGCTAGTCACCAAATCCCCATGACTTATTTATAACTGGAATTTTGTACCTTATGACCCCTTTAGCCCATCATCCAATTCCCTCTTCTAGTAACCACCAATCTGTTCTCTGAATCTATGAGCTCATTTTTGTTTTAGATTCCATGTATGAAATCATACAGTATTTGTTTTTCTCTGACTTATTTCACTTAATATAATGCCCTCAAGGTCCATCCATATAGTTGGAAATGGCAAGATTTAGTTCTATTTTTATGGCAGAATAACATTCCATTATATATCACATTTTCTTTATCCATTCATCCATTGATTGACACTTTGGTTGTTTCCATTATTTTGGCTATTGCAAATAAGGCTAAATGAACATGCAGTGCATATATATTTTTGAGTTAGTGTTTATTTTATTCAATTAAATACTCAGAAGTGGAATTGCCTGTTGATACTGTAGTTCTATTTTTAAATTTTTGAGGAACCTTCATACTGTTTTCTGTAGTGGTTGCACCAATTTACAATCCCACCAAGAGTATACAATGATTCCCTTTTTCCCACATCCTTGCCAACACTTACTTTTTTTTAACAGGTGTGTCATTTTGGTTTTGATTTGCATTTCCCTAATCAGATTCCTGTTGGCCATCTGTATGTCCTTTGGAAAAATTTCTACTCAGGTCCTAGCTCAAAGAAGATATACAAATGGCTCAGTTGGTTGGAGAGTCATCCCATATACCAAAAATTGTGGGTGTTCTCCCAGTCCAGGCACATACCAAAAGCAACCCATCAACGTTTCTGTCTCTCTCTCAAAATCAATAAAAACATCCTTCAGCGAAGATTAAAAACACACACAAAAAAACACCACAATGAGATATCACTTTACACCAGTAATAATGGCTATTATCAACAGGACAAGAAATAACAAATGCTGGTGTGGGTGTGGAGAAAATGGAACTCTTGTGCACTATTGGTGAGACTGTAAATTGGTATAGGCACTATAGAAAACAATATGGAGGTTCTCCAAAAAATTAAATTAGAGCTACCATATAATCCAGCTATTCCACTTCTGGGTATTTATCTAAAGAAATCCAAAACACTAATTTAAATAAATAAATATAATATAATGGTACGTGATTGAAGATCATATATATGTGTGTGTATATATATATACACACACACATATATATACACACACATATACATATATACATATACATATATATGATCTCCCTCTGTTCATTTTAGTATTATTTATAATAGTCAAGACATGAAAGCAACCTAGGGGTCCATCAGTAGTGAAATTACTGGTACATATCTATATAATGGAATATTAATCAGCCATAAACAGGAATGTAATCTTGCCATTTGAGTCAACATGAATGGACCTAGGGAGTATTATGCTATACATATTTCCTATATATAGTAACATTGCTATATTATATAAAGGAAAGTTGTTAAGAGAACAGATCCTAAGAGTTCTCATAGCAAGAAATATTTTTCCTTTCTTTGCTTTGTAGCCCTATGATAGATGTTAAGTAAGCCTACTGTGATAATCATTTCATATGCTATACACCTTATCCCTATATAGTCAAGTATGTGAATTACTTCTCAATAAAATTGGAAGGAAAATAAAGCTAGGTAGTTTGGGGGCTTCTTGCTCATGTATAAGTCTTTAAAAAATGGGGATGCCTGATATGGGGTTCAGATCCTATGCTCCTCAGGGAGAGGCTCTGGATTGGAGTTCCCTCCAGACTGTAGGTGCTGCACCGGGGGGTGGGGTTTATTGTGACATTGTGCCACAGACACTCCTACCTGTTTCCATGTGGGCCTTTTCTTGTTCATCCAATGTGTAGTATTCACTCAGCCAGTTTTCAGAGAAAGTTTTCCCATAAGCAACTGTAGATCTGGTGTGTTCATGGGAGTTCAGGATCCTTTTATACCGCCATCTTCAGAGCTGGTGATAAATCCTTTCTCGTTTAAAGTAACTTTGAAATAAAATCAAGGTCTTCTACACATTTAGCCTGCATAACAGTGACACCCCCCCCCCCACACACACACACTTTATCTTTTGAAAAAGAGAAAATCAATAAATAAGACTTCTTGCCTACAATCCCAATCAAAAATGCAGGAAGACAATTTTCATCATAGATGGGACACTAAAGCAAAGCTGCTACGTACAGTAACACTGAGGGGAGAAGCAAATAAGGTCATTGACTATTCTTGTCAGGTGGCTTTTATTTCCCAAATGCAAAGGAAGCCACTAAAATACAAAGAGAAAAACAGCATCCATTGGGTTGGGAAGGAGAGAAGAAGGGTACAGGGAAGGAAGAAAGATAGTAGGATTTATTGGTTCATTCAAGGTTAAATGGCACCTTAATCTAGACCTTCGAATCACTTTAATACATTTGCCAGAAATGTGTTTTCTACAACAAACTTTGGAGATTTCAACAATCTATCACTTTTTCAGGCATCAATAAATTTACAAAAAAGCTTCGGTGTCCCTATGCAATTGACAACAATGAACTGCTTGACTTCCTTTCTAGAGTCCCTTCAGATGTACAAGTGGTATGTAGATTTCATTATTACTACTATTTTAATGTCGGGTAGCATTAGGTTTTATCTTTATATTCTTTTAATTTCAAAGGTTTCAAAGAGACAGGTAAAGTTAATAAAGCCTATAGCTGATCGTGCTGTTGAGAAATTTAGCCTACTTGGGGTGCTAACCTAGCAGAACTCATAGAGAAGAATGGGGAATGACAGGGGTTGCATCAAGCACCTACCAGAGCCGTCAGGGACTAGGAAGGTTCAGCTGGAGACTGTGAAGGGAAGTCACCATGACCTGAAGGGAGGAAACAGGAATATGAGATGATGAAAGTAAAGTGTGCCAGTGGACATTTGGAGAAAAACACCTCTGTGCACAATCGCACAAATTGAATGAATTTTAAAGATGCATATTTGAAGTCAGTGAGTGGGGGAGAAGGCTTTTTGAAGACTGGAGCATATCTTAATTCTTTAAAATCCTTTCAGGTTAATCAATACCCATTAATCAACTATTTTCAAAGTAAAATGAGAAATGTTTTTAACAAAATCTTGAAACTGGGTTACAGTGATACCTTTTCCCTTTGTTCCAGTTGAGTTTATTTAGTATCAGACATGAGAGCGAGCTGGATATTAAACCTATATTAAACAAAAATCTGTAAAGAACCATTATCCATCGCTTCACAATAGATGAGATGGTTCTGCTTTTAATGTTATGTCTTATGGACAGTGAAAACCCACGTCTGTTACCAGAGGTCACATCGGGGCTCTCATGTAGCTCCTGGCAGGACTCCCCTCAGACTCTTGCTGTATCACTCTATTGTGTTCTGTATCCCAGCTGCAGATCTCATACAGCTTCCAGAGTGAGCACTTTTTCCTCCAAGCAGTCTTTCCTTCCTTTGCCAGAAAGTGGCCACCTGACCAGTCTTTCTCTGAACTCTGTTTAAACAGGTGCAATACCAAGAATTGAAACCAGATCCCTCTCACAGCCCATGTAAAAGGAAGAAAAACAATCTTGGCTAGCTAGCCCCAGCACTGAGGAGACCAGCATCTGCTCGGGAAGACACAAAAGGCTTCCAGCCTCAGCAGCATTTCCTTTCTTCCTGCTTTTTATTTATTTTACCTCTTAAAACATGATCGTGAGAACTTGTAAATAGTGTATAAGGGCATGTGTCTTTGAAAATATACTTCCATTGTACAGAATCAATTTGATAAAAAGTTTACCTTCTGCTGTATGAAAGCCTTGTTAGTGGTGGCTAATAATATAGCACACTGGAACAACAAATGTAAGAATGGTAACACTGGGAGACACACACTTCTCTAATTACAAGTGGAAGAACCAGATTAGATTATATGCTTTGTTTTGCCTGATGGAAATCTAGATACATGTTAAAGTTTTTTTCATGTGACTATTTTTTATCTGAAAAGTACATTGCAGTTTTCTATGTTTTACACTTTTTGAAAGGGAGGAGGGAGTCCCAAGATGTGAATAATGGAACAGATGCATTTCAATTTCACATAAATTCTGATTTCAGATCCTGACATTTATTCCTGACCAAAGATTTAGATATGACTAGGCTGACTTTAAGTAAGTTAATGAGTGAAGGTATATTCACCCCTCAAAAGAATCTTCTATACTCTGAAATCCTACAAAAAAAAACAAACAAAAACTGTCCTATCATTCCATCTAAAACCTTAAAATCTCTACAGGATTACACATAAATACTGCCAGGTTTATAAATGAATGCCTATCTGAATTTTTATACCTACCACTACTTTAATTTGTATCAAGTTAGAAAATTAGCAAAATTTCAGTAAACATACTAGCAAACTAAATCCATATTGCTTTTGGTGTCAGATTATACCCCTGTATATCTAAAAATATTTAATACTCACATGTTCTCACAGAAAAAAAGTTATGTGCTTTCTCATTAGATTACTGAAATCTTTAATGCATACTATGATTTTTGTTATTAGTGTGAATTGTAATATAGAGAATGCAGTGTGTTAAGTGATATGCCAATGTTTCATTACATTCATTTATAGAAAAAAAATAATCATTCTTGAAAATATGAATGCATGAACACATATTTTGTAAAATAAACTGTATGGGGAGGGGGAGTTTGCCTTTAAAAAGATTTCACTACTTACTATAGAATCTATATTTAAAAACTGCATTCTCAAGACTCTTGTGGTAGTTTTTCTATTTAACTTCAAGTGAGTATACCTCTGGAAAGAGAAATAATTTGGTGAGTATGTCTTACCCCCTCCCGACTTGGTAGGGGATTAAGCTTGCCTAAAATTGCTACAGAATGTTTTGCACTACTTTATTAATAATAGACTGAGATAGGGTGAAGATGGGGGTTGTGTTGGAAAACTGTAGAAAAGGCCGAAGCAAGAAACATATCTCTCTAAATTCTTTAACAATAAATTTAATCTCATCAGAGCTGATTTTTTAAAGTATTTTTATTTTAAAGCTATGTTGTTAAATACTATTTCTTATGATAGAACTATTTTGATCTGTTTATACACTATGGTTGAAAGATTGTCAATTAAATCCCTTTCTATAGAAAGGCTTTGACCTCAATAAGCTCCATTTAGTGCATCATGTTTGTAACGACATGCTTATATTCACACACCATGATTATATGTTGCTAAGACAATACTCCATGAAGTTGATGTTACTACAGAAAGTTTGCTGATAGGATAATTTGTTTGAAATTACCTTTGATTATATCTTGTGTGAGGTTTACATTTCATGCTGACAGTGTCTGCTCAAATGTCTACAAGCCTGATATTCTATGACCCCAGATGTACCTAGTGGATAGTAACCATTAACGGATTAGTAAGTTTTGTTTCATTCTATGAAATTTCAGATGTTTAGTTCAATGGTAATGTTGACTATACATTCACTGCATTAAATAAAAAATCTTTTCTAAGTAAAATCAGTACTCCTTTTTTTGGTGGCTGAGGGAGGATTGTGTGCATATTCTTGTAAGTGACACTTAGAGAAACTCATGTTTGGTTTGGACATATAAGGCTTTCCCTGAATCCTAGACTTTTTACAAAATTCAATACCTTCTGAGGGGTGAGCATCCAAGGAAGCTGACAGAGGAGTAAGAACTCTCTGGAGGCATGAAAGTGATATTCATAGGAATCTTCATTGCTTTTAGAAACTACTGCATTCAAGGCTAAAAACAAGAGACTATGTCTAGTAAAATTTTAACTCTTTCTCCTATGTGAGGGGTTTACAGAGCTGTTTAACTTTAGAGAGATTTGCCATGTAAATATTTCAAGATGTCTGACACCTATTTAGATTGCTAAATACAGAAATCATGTGAACTACTAAATACGTTCCTCAGTATTTTTTTAGTGAGTCAACTCATTGAAGGTCATTCATATTCCAACTATGATACTTCATAAGAAATGCATATTTTAACTTTTTTTCATCTATAAAAAGAATTCAGTACTTCTGATTCATTTTGGTACTGTTCCACAGACTCAAATTGATAGATTCTGTAGGGATTCCAAAATACTTTTGAATCATTCTGTGCACAAGGGAAATCTGAATAGGCAGATTCTTTAGATTACTTTGCTCTGTGGTATATTTATTGAGTACCTAGTATATGACTTGCCCTGTCATAGGCAATGATCACCCCAATGACGGTGTATTAAAATCAAATCTGGAGCTAAAGTATAGTGAGAGCAAAATTTAGCTGATATATTTCTGAAAGTATATTTTATAGAGTTTTATTCTGTATTTAAAAGTGAAGAAAACTTCAGTGGTAAGCTCTCTTAGGGACCGTAAGAACTTTTCCCATTTTTATCTCAGTATCCAAATGTCCCTAATACTGAATGTAGTCTACTCTTGTATTAACAAGTCTTACTCCGAAGCTTTTAGTTTCTACATCTGTTAAATGTAACTGAATATTTATCTTTGACTTTTGTACTCAGCTTAAAATTATGGCAACTAATGCTCTAGAAATACAAATAAAGACAGCCACCATTACACTTTTTGCAAAAGCCTCAGATTATTATTAATACTTATTTAAATTCTGGGACATGTATCAAGTGTGAGTGTGAGTATGTGTGGACAGATGCCTATTCATTTGGTTAGAATATCTAGAATCAGCCTTTTCTAACTGCTCAGACAAGTATGAATTAAAACCACAAGAAAATAACATAATGAATACTTACAATAGTGTCACTCCTTTAAATTATAATTCTCTTTCCTAGGATGACTGGTATAACTCACTGAAGACAACAACAACCCACACACATTTTTTTTTTTTTAGCGAAAATGTAACCTCTTATACCTCAGGCTTTTTACATTTGTACAGTGGCAGGAACATCATAAGATTTATTCTAGCTGAATCTCTGAGATTTAAGAAATATCAAGGAAAATCTCTCATTATGTAAGAACATTATGGAAATAAAAATGTCACATGCAACTGAAACTAACAGCACTATGAAAAGTTCGCTGAAAATGTAATTTTTACATTTGTGCTTTTACCAAAGGATCTGGATTAACCCCCACCCCCTACTCCAAAAGTGAAACAACCAAATATATAATTGGTCTCAAATAAGTTTCAACTTATTGGTATCCTCTGTCCTTCACATTAAAAACTGACAATATAAAACTGTTCTATGCACAAGCAATGTTTTTGTAGACAGGTTTATTTATATTATGGTTGTGTTTCCAAATGTTACTGAAAAATTATATGACTCCATTTTTAAAAAGGAAACCAACTAGCACAGCTGCTCTGCTCAATTAACAGTGTTACTCTAAACCAGGGGTGGGGAACCTTTTTTCTGCCAAGGGTCATTTGGATATTTATAACATCATTCGAGGGACATACAAAATTATCAACTTAAAAATTAGCCGTACTATATTTGATCAAACATTTAATTAACTCACCCCTAATGCCTTGGCAGGGCCAGACCATATGATTTTGAGGGCCTCATACAGCCTGTGGGTCAGATGTTCCCCACCCCTGCAAGTTGAAACCTTTTTTTTTAAATCAAGTTAAACAAATAGTTATGCAAGTACCTGTGCCAAAGTATTTTCAGTTGTAGCAAAAATAAAATAATTCTCCCAAAGAGAAAAGGAATGACCAACCTGAAAGTCAATGAGCAAACCTTCAAACCACCTCTTAGTTTCTCAGGAGGAATGCATCTGATGAAATACCAAGATCTGGTTGAGTATGGCTGCTGCTGCTGCTGCTGCTGCTTCTAAGGCAAGGTGATAATATAAGTTCATTCCACTTTCTAGTCAAAGACAAGCTTCAGAATGCCAAGAGTCAACTTGACGCATGCTATCTTACCAGAGTTCAAAATGGTAACAAGTTTAGGGGAAATGCTACCTTTATAGCGAAAGGTGCACACCTGGCCCCAACCACTCTTAATTGTCTCTTGATTACTGGAGACATACCTGCAATAACAGTGAAGAGAAATTATAGTTACAGCTGGACCACAGAAAAAAAAGGTAAGGGTGAGGTAATGCCATTACATGTTCTAAGTTCAGAGATCTTCTTTTAATAAAGCTACTCAAAGAAGTGGAAAACTTTAAACTCTACATCATCTCCACAAAACATTCTTCCTTTTATATAGTAGTATGATAATTACAAGTCAAAATTTGTGTCTAACATGTAATACTGGAACCATGTAAAACAATTTATTGGTGTCAAATTTGATAAAGATTGAAATATCTATTTTCTACTGTACAGTGAGGGATATTTGTGATTTTGTCTTTGTTTTTTATAATAAGGGAGGTAGATCACTCAAGTTCTGACCCAACCTTACATAATGGCATATCTACCACTTACCTTTTTCCTGGAACTCTTAGACTTCAGATTCCATTAACATAAGAGAACTAGCAAACCACGGCAGGGTTTTTGAAGCACATGGGAACGCACCTGGAAAATCCCACATACTATGAATACTTAAAGTAGTTTTAAAACAGACCAAAGTGGTGTTCTACTTTATTTGAAGTTGCTGAACAGGACTTTATAAATTTCCTTGGATGAAAAAATGCATTTTCAGGTATAACAGAGAAAAACTTTTTTTTAGGGGGGTGGAGAGGGGATGTTATCACAAACATTCAGCACTTGATAACCAAGAGTCAGGGAACTGAATCTTGTGGGGTAGGGTGCCAGGTACACACCATCCATTCTTGTGGCACTCTGACGCCAACACAAAGAACACACACCAAGTTACCTGATTTCCCACGATCTCTTATAACTGTGATACATTCCTGGGAAGCAGGTGAGAAATCTCCCCCACAAAATCACCTTGATGTGATATTCTCTCCAGCATTCTGTAATTATGATGTAGGCACCCAATGCATTTATAGAAAACAACTGTTAAAACAGTATATTTTCATTGTACTACTTAGAACAGTACCTTAAAAGAAGCTGTTTCCCTGGCCTTCAAAGAGGGGCAAAATAAGAATGTCTGGAGCACTGTAGCAAGATACTTTGACTTAGATTTCTCCGTAGATGGCTGGCTGTTTATACCTGCACCGATGTTATAAATAATAAGACCTATATTAACACGTAAAGCGCCCAGCCTGTGTTGTCTTCCGGACAGAAAGTATAGTGTCAGTCACCGTGACTGACTGGGAAGCTTAACGTGTTAAAAAGTGAATGTTTTGCAGATCTATGATGATACAAGAAAAAAATTCTCTAATATAGTAGTGAACTCCTTTCGAAGTCGTTTAATGTACAACCTTTGATAAGTGTAGCCATCATTTAATCTTCCTGTCTCACTGCTTTCTGGTGTTGAATCTGGGATGGGGGGCGGGGGGGACAACCCACCAGAGGAGAAGTAATTTTGAGATTCCATGGATACTTCTAAAGTCAGAAAAGGTGACAGTGAAGACATGAATGACTCCACAAGGCATCTGCATGAAGTTCAACCTTTAGCAACTTAAGAATCCCACTAAGGAGTCATGACTCACCCAACATGGCGAGGCAATACTTACAAGGGAATTACAATACAGATTAAACAAGTACATGAGTGACAAGATAAGCCAGATTTACTCTCAAAGGAGGGGCATACAGTATAAGTGTGTTATTTGAGATTTGCAATAGGTGATATTATGTTTAATTAAATCCTACACTGACGAAAAGTGGTATATTTTAAAATATACTTTATATTTTAAAAATCCAGTAGATGTCAGTTTAATATATGACACCTTTAGAAAACTTCAAGACTGATCCTCTTACCTATATCAGGAGCATTACTTTCAAAAATAAATTGGCTACTGGTATTAAAAACAAATATGTTTCATTACAAAGAAATTTGGGGAAGTGAAAATGAAATATTCAAAATTATATCACAAACACAAACATTATTAGCAATGCATTTGCTTACAATCCTTTCCCCTGTGTGATTTTACTTAGAGGAAATTTTAAATACATTGAAATAGTTTCTCTTTTTAAAAAATAACTAAAATTAGTCAATAAAAATATCATTGAGTGGAACCAATTCAGCCACTTTTTTATCAGCCACTTTTTGTAAATGACTCTGAACCTCCTATTAAAACCATTTCCTCCAATAACATGACAGTATGAACTTAAACGTATTTTGAAAAGAGTAAAAGAACTGAAATCACAAGAAAATAAATATGAGAAATCTCAATTTGCCTAAACTTGAGAAGACTGAATATTACTAGTCAAAATATCCTATTTCTGATGATACCATTAAAACTGCTATTTTTCTTATTTTTTGTTTTCTATAGAAATTCACTTAAAAGACCCTACCACAAAAGAATGACCTTCAAGCTTGATATATTAAACATTAACATTTTTTCAAAGACACAATTTATTCCTGAGATTAGGAGATTTGTCTATATGTCCTACATCTGATTTTATACCTCCCCTAACTTCTCAATCAATATATTAAACAGCGTCTAAAAATTTTAACCCTTTTAATTCCTTTAAACCAGAATGATTCCTACCCACTTTCCCCCTCATCCCTTTGCTCAGTTTTCATTACAATTCTTTTTAGTTTTCATAAAATGCTCTTTAAAATGTGTATTCTAATTCTACCAAATTTGTTATTGCTTTAATTTTGTCTCTAGGATGCAAAAGAGAAGCAATACAAAATTTTAAAAAATACATTTTCAGGATGAAGTTGGAACAAAAACCTATTATAAATCAAACAATTCTGGTCACTAGAAAAATTTATCAGTGTCATGACATAAACCATTGCTGACCTAACCTTTAAGTTGAGAAGTACTGGCAACAAACTAAGTTCTTTTTTATCTGTCACCACTTTAAGATTAATGATTTTATTCAACATGACTATTTCATTTGAAGAGAGAATGGAGAATCATTGGAAATTTTAGTTCATCTACTATTAAGATAAATGATAACATAATCGGTGTAAATTCAAAGCTGGACTCCAGATTTTCAGTTCAGTACAATTTACCTGCTGGAAGTGCTAAGCACATTTTTAAAAAATGTCCATTCTTTGGTAGAACTAAATCATATGTTCCAAAGGAGTTAGCCATTCTCTATTAATGTGTAACACCCATTATGCATTAAAGTTCACTTGATCCAATTTAGATACTTTTGAAAGGAAGTAAATTAGATTTACCAAATCTGAATTAAACATTCTATAAAGCTTTGGGGGTCATAATAAAAAAAATGGAAGAAATAGTTCAATTTTAATTGGAGACAGCTTGTGTTTAAACAAGGAATTTTTATTACTTTTTTGGTCTATGTTAAAGGCAATATTATATAAATAATATATACTTATTAGAAATATGTTTATATTAAGTTTAATATAAATATTATATACTTATTAGTTTTTATAAGTGATTACTAGTTACTCTGCTAATTACACTGTTTGATCATAATTCAGCAGGCAGTTTAGAAAACCAGAAGAGTTCACTATTTACTTGTTTTAAAAATGAAAATGTATGTGTATATTCAATAGTACAAAGACAGCATTTTAAAAAATCAGTCAACTGAAAAAAAAGAAAAAATGAAAAAAAAATCAGTCAATTGTATCTAATACTAAGGGTTATATACTATATTTCAAGATTTTCATGTTTTTTAAAAATGATAGTATAATTGCATCTATAACCAAAAGCACATAGCTAAGCTAAAAAGACTTACAGTACTGAATTCAAATATAAAGATATTAGAAAATATTTATATATAAAATATGCAAAAAATGTAATTTTATTTGTAATTTGTAAGTACAACCAAAGAGATTACAAAGCTTCTTTTTCAAATAATGTAATAGAATTTTCCCCCCTCTAAATATTCACATAAATTCACGCCTCAAGAAACAAAGATGTTTATGGGTCTTTGTTGCTTGGTGCTTTTATAAACTGGAAAACATGATTAAAAATGTTTTGGATGTTCTCAAATATTTACTTAAGAGGGAAAACTCTTTTCTAAACATCTAATAATCAATGATGTCAAAATATCTTACATTTGTTTCTTCTGAAAAAATATTGTTAGTATTTTTAGGATTTGTAGTATCTTGAAAGATGGATGCCTGGAACTAAATAAAACAGTACCACAACTTTTTCTAACTAATTAAGTAGTCTAAAAATATTTAATTCTTTATCAGAGCAAGCAACCACCAAAATATATCCTCCCAAAATTCATTTTAACATACAAGGTGAATTTTTTGATAGTTAACTATTGCATTCTCCAGTTTTGACATCAGCAGCCATTAATTTCAAGGATGCCATCACTGACCTTTCTAACTCAATCCACATTTGTTATAAAAACAATTATCATTCTGAATTCTGCAAACTGCACGTCAAAAAGAGGTGTGACTGGTGTGGAAGCCACAGGATAAATGCCTGAGGGAAGGAGTGCCTCATGTCACTCAAAGATGACCCCTTCCTACTGATTAAGGAGCAACAGTGACAGGCTCTCATCAAGTTCATCACTTAACTGGAAAGGTGTGTAAAGTCATATGGATTGCACATTCCACCAATAATGGAGATATTCATTTCGTTTAATTCTCTGTAACAGCATAAACAAATCGACAAGCATTTCCTGGCATTTATATAAACTATACTAGCATTAATGCATTTGTGTTTACCTAGGAATGAGTACTAGTTCATTAAGAATGCAAAAGCATATCCTATGTACTATTCACTCTAAAATAAAATTGCTAAAATCATACTGATCAAAGGATTAAACTCTTAAACCTTTGTAATATTCACATTTAAAAGCTAAAACAGAGCACCATTAATGTAAATTTTAGAAATGTGCAAAACTGGAATTAATTTATTCAATAGCCTATACAGAAGACAATAAAATTAACAATATTTAAGGCCAGTTTACCTTCCTGGACTGTACGCTTTCCTCCTTTCATGGTGGACAGCCCATCAAGCACACCACCTGGTAAGTAACAGGTGTTCAAGAAACGAAGAATTTAAGACAGTGGTTAATTTCACACTTGATTTATACGAGGATTAATGTTTTCCTAGTCATCTTGTAGTTAATGATATGACAAAAAATGTATATACTTCAACCACTTTATTATGCCTAGGGAATTAAGAACTAACAAGCTAGAAAACTCTAATTTTAGAGACCCTTCCTAAGGAGTTTCTGGGACCTATTTTAAATTTTTTATATTCCAAATATTTGTGGGGACTACGCATAATGAAAACTGAATTTCAATAGCTCAGAAATCTCTTTTTCAAACTGTATTGTAATAAATGCTTTTATGGGCTCCTTAAAAAAAATTCCATTGAGCTATGATATGAATTCTGGCAGAGTAAAGTGAAGAACAGCATTACCCAGCCTATCTTCAGCCACTAACTAAAAAGCCAGGATTCGAAGACTATGAATTTTATTAAAATTTTGACTTCCTCCACCTTTAGGATAGATTTGAGGCAATTACGTTTTCTAAATTGTAAGTAATTATATTGGGAATGTTCTCATTGCAGGTTTAGTTAGGTTCATATACATTTATTGGTATTGCTAACTAGGCCACCGAGCATAGTAATTTATGTTGGGCCAAGTTGTGCTTCTGCAGAAGTGCAAAGTTGCAACACCTTTTTAAAGACAGAGACCTCAATGGCCTTAGAGTGTTTAATACTTCGTGTCATCATGGCTTATAGAAGTTGGCAATTAGGAATTCAAATATACTAATTGCAACTAAGTGAGTATTTCTTTGGAACATTAAATTTAAAAAGCTTTTTCTTAGCAGTGCAAAACCATAACTTTTCACTTAAATAATTCATGATAACTAAAAAAGGGAGGTAAGAACTAGAAAGGAAGTAACTTTTTTAGTGCCGTATCAGGTGTTAGCACTAACAATTCTTCACAACAAAGATACCTGGTGTTATCTCCATTTGATAGGTAAGGAAAATAAAGCTCAGAAAGGAACTTGCTTTGCAATTTAGTTACCAGTAATAAGAAATTAGACAAGGATTTAAAACTAAGTCTGATGTCAAAGTCTATATTTTTAAGTTTATATTAGTTTACAAAGCAAAGTTATTCTGGATTCCTTCAACTAAAAAGTGGTTACTGTTTAGAATAAAAATGTTCTTATTCATTATCTGGGGAATCTATGAGCATTTTAATGTTCCTTAATGTCTTCTCATCACTGGGACTTTGGCAGATTAAGATTAAAAAGAAATTTGAGCCCTAGCTGGTTTGGTTCAGTGGATAGAGCATTGGCCTGCAGACTGAAGGGCTTCAGGTTCAATTCTGGTCAAGGGCACATGCCTGGGTTGCTGGCTTGATCCCCAATAGGGGGCATGCAGGAGGCAGCCAATCAATGATTCTCTCTCATTATTGATGTTTCTATCTCTCTCTCCCTCTCCTTTCCTCTCTGAAATCAATATATTAAAAAAAAATTTGTATGATGTCACATTTGAAGGCTAACTAGAACTAACATATTTATAAGTATGTGTAAAAATAGAGAAAAAAGCTTTGATTTTAATCACAGCTGATATACTAATATAGTTTTCAGTTTAGATTATAAACTCAATAGTAAAGCACTCAGCATTCGTATTTTATTAAAAGATCTATTTCTAAGATAAAATTGAAGGGTGTTTCTTTAGCAGACTAATTGCTGGGAGATCATGAATATAGTTACATAAAAGCTAAATGTAAGTTTTAATGTTTCTTTTTAAGCTGTATCACAATGTAACTATTCCCACTAGTGAAGCAACTCCAATTTCGAAAGTGGCTATTATCTACACCCTTTCTTTTAGTTTTACAATAAATAGCATTATGAAAAAAAACTGCAAATTGAAATGTTACTGCTCTGTAAATTCATACTGTACATTAAGATTTTAGATAATCTGAAATCTATTACTTAGCTGTCACTTAGAATCTTAATATTTAATAAAACTTATTAAAGAGAATGTTCTCACTTATAGAGTATTGGTTACACAGAGTAAAAACACTTTTATGTGAACTGATATAATAAAATAGATCAAGGGATCATATTGTTAAATTCTGCACATCCACTGCACTTAAAAAACAAAAGAATTATTGTAATTTTAGAAATATTTATTTTAGAAACACACAAAACTAAAATAGATACTTTAGTCCAAGAGTCTACAGAGAAGAAACAGCAAACTACATGTTTATAGGTGAATATTTGCATGAATAACCTTGCCATGATTCTAAGACCTGGAACACCTGAAATAGAGAACATTACAGTTTGATTGGAAAAAAATATTTAAATTAAAAAAATTTTTACATATACAATATAAATAGATAAATAATATCACTTTTGGAACAAAAATAATCATAAAGATGAAAGAAAGTAGTGTATATCAAGCAAAACTATTTTTTTTTTTACTTTTGAGTCAAATTCCACACTGGAAAAAGACAGAAAAGCCTAAACTATAGTTTTGTACAAGTTGTTTAAGTGCTTTTAAAATTCATACAGGATGCAAATTCTGTCAATAAATCAAAGCAAAATATGTTAATGAGCAGGTAAATGACAAAGCAAACTGAGCAGGTTTAGAAAGTTGACTCATATTTTTTGGCATCATCATGAAAACTCTGTGACTGGCCGACACATCATTTCCAATGTCACAAGTAAGGCCTCAGTGTGTACTCCAGGACAGACTTTTAAATTCTCAGGGAGTTCCTTAAGAATATTTGGGAGTTTCAGCAAAGTCTTTATATTTTTACCATAAAGATCCAACAACCAGTCAGTATGAGCACTGGTGGTTTCCTTATAATTCTTACAAGCCATAAGCATTTCATTTAGATGAGTTAACCCTTTGAAAGCTAAGAGGAACTCTGAAGATAAATCAAAAATTGAACAAAAATTTAGCAACATCCTACTAAGTAAAAATGAGCCGAATTCAAGTTGCTGGTGGTAAAAATGTTTCTCTGTTTGTGCATGAAAGTTCTCCACTGTATCTTCTATTTTTGTGATAGCAAAGAGTTCTTCCTTGACTTGAGATGATAAAACATAATCCAAGGGCAGTTCCCCCTTAGAGTTCCTTTGCTGTAAGAGCACTGGGCCTGTGAAAAGAATGCAAAATGTTAAACCATTTTTATTTTGGCAGCTTAAGAGCTGTTTTCTCTCTCCTTTTATCTAAAGCACCCAGGACTCTGTTTATAATCATATTTTGTACTAATTCATGTTGACATTAACTGGCTATACATATTGACTGACTAAAGGTATGTTTAGAGAAACCAAAATTCTAGTCCATTGCCTAATGGGAATTGCCTAAGTAATATATATGGTTATAATTTTAAAAAAACTTTTATGAAACTTCATAAATTGTCATCTTGAAATAAAAATTTCAATGTTCCTAGAATACATTAACTAAAATATTCATCTTAAATTGTGTCAGAGTCTTAAAGTATCTCATAAATCAAGGGGAAAAGTAGTGCCCCTTCCATTGATGACAGGTGATTGCAGCAGTGCAAAGGCTGCAAAACCTTGCACAAACACAGAATCTTTCATTATCATTGTTCATGTTCAATTTTTAGTATAGGTAACTGACGTTAAAAAAATAAAGTGTTAACTCTTCTGAGTCAAACTCAGATTTCATCCATCTATTCTAGCTAAACCCATTTTCTAACCGACTACTTAGAAACCACTGGCAATAGAGTGTGTCCTCTACACAGTAAAGGATGATGAAGAAAGAGCAAAACAATAACTCTGTATTTGGTCACATTGTAAAGTACAGAAATATTTGTATATATGTCAGTCAACTCTTATAATTATTTATATACTTTGCTATAAAATAGAAAGTTTTTAGTATTAGCAGGCAATGAGGTCTTACTATATAATATAGATCATATTGACACAGAAAGAGCATAGTTTATACCTACTAAAATTTTTAATGATGTGATCAGATATATATGGGGGTCTATATAAAATGTATTTCATATAAAAGATCAACCACTGATGATATGATTCATGTGTAATTTATGAAAAAGAGAATTCTAAATCAGTATTAGGTTTCTTTTCATTATGTTGATATTTCAAAAATATTGCTAAAAGTTACTCCTGTTAAAAGAAATTACATTGCCTGGCCAGTGTGGCTCAGCAGTTGAGCATCAACCTATGAACCAGGAGTTCATGATTAGATTCTTGGTCAGGGCACATGCCTGGGTTTTCAGGCTCGATTCCCAGTAGGGGGCATGCAGGAGGCAGTTGATCAATTTAATCATTGATGTTTCTATCTTTCTCTCCCTCTCCCTCTGTGAAATCAATAAAAACATATTTTTAAAAATTACCAAAACATTGCAGACACACGAGATACCAAAAGTAAAGATTTTAGAGACACAAACTCTTAAAGTTATTGCTCTTAAGACTGAGTGGCTCACAATGAAAAAGTAATATAGTTATTAAAATGATGGTATCAAAGCACTTGACAAGCCCAAACTTAGAATATGACTAAAGCAAAGATTAGTCTGTATGACTGACAAAGGACCTTGATAAATGCAAGTACAAGTAGATTTCCTCTTAGGACAAGGGACTCATTTTAACCAAGGACCCTAGGAAAATTCACATTGGTTGGTATAATGCTGTTCTGAAGATTTGGACTTAATATAATAATGGCTGTTATATCACTTAGAATATTTGAAGCAAGGTCAAATATTGGCTTGGGATGTCAGATACACGGTTGAATAGAAAAATAAAACACTTAGAAGATAGAACATTATGTTTCAATAAACATATAGTACTAAAAAATGTACTGAAAAATATATTTATTATAAAATGGTGTCAGTAAAACACACACATGAAGGCCTTTAGGGGGCAGGAGAAGACTATAAATAACCAAATATCTTAAGCTGCCAAGCTGCACAGCCTTTCTTAGAGAGAGATATAGTGTAAAAAGACATCAAAAGAAAATATGCTTTTTATTTTCATGCAGAATCAAATAGCTTTAATTATGAGAGAAAGAAATTTTAAATTT